CCCCTTCAGTAGGTTTTGCTATATACCGTATATAGAACATGGATGCCTTTTCCCCATTGTGCTTTTCCTATGGAATTTTGTCCCACCATAGATCAGAGGAGGAAGCTGCTGGCCTTTCATGGCCCTAAGTATCTACTTCTGTGCCCAAGCCTGGAGCCTGGAGTATGTAAAATGACCTATCTCCTGATTGTTTTAGCAATTTTGCACTGTGATACTTCCTTGGCTGTTATATATTTTATGTTTTCTACGTGTTTTTGTTTGCATTTTGATATTTGAGAAGCACTCAGACACCCTTGTTAAGATGGGTGGCTGTACAAATCAATTAACTAAATAAACAAACATGGCTGCCTTATGGGGAACTTTTTATATAGAGTTGTCCGTGCAAAGACTTTTGCAAAGATTTGCCCTTTAGGAGGAAGAGTTTTACATTAAGTCAATACTTGTGTTAGATTTAATTTTTTTCTGTTTGCTTCTTTTACCCCCATAAAATGACCTTTAAATTTGACCTTCTGGCAAGTGTTCAGAAACATTGTAGGGAAAAGCCATTCAAAACCAAACTTCAAGACTAACCATTGCAGCCAAAAGAATGAGTGGCACCAGGTATCAAAAGAACAGGCAGCGGCAGGAATGATCCAACAAATCAACAGGAACCGTCTCCCCAGAAAATAATTTATTCCTTGAGCATATAAAAAAAAATCCAATACCCAAAACAAGGAAGGAGATGTACTTAAGATGTAAAAGGGAGAAATTAACACATTTCAGCAAACACTTTTAATGGATTTCCGATGAACTGTTAGATCATTAGAATAACATAACACACATACACACTCCTCTTCCACAGACTATGTTTCCCTTTGCATGCACCTCCCCCCCCACACCTTTTCCTATAAATCTAAGCCCCTGGGAACAACATTTCCATAAACTACTTTTTTGGGAGACAACCTCTGTGCTATACTGTTAAAAATTAAATGGAGAACTTCCTCTTCTAGCAGCTTATTTTTGAATATTAATTTTCAGTTTTAATCTTCCAATACTTGTTGGAAGACTTTTTGAAGACTTTTTTAAAATCACCATTCTGTTCATTAATTAATATGGTGTCCTGGTACTGTGAATGAGCCTGTTCTTTGGCTATATTGAATGGATAATTGTTATAAATTGTTGCCTGGCCACTGTTTATGACATGTATAGTTTTAGCTTATTGTTTTTATTTTGCTTTTGCTTTTTAACCTTTCAGAATCATACATTTAATTCCAATGATATGAAGGAGTCTCAGTTATTATGATATCTCTGCTCTCGTATCAGATCTAATCATCATGGCCAATATTCTAGAACAATAGAATTTGAGCTTTAGGTGAATTTGAATTGAAATAAGACAAAAGTAGTAGTTGGGATGCTACAAAGCCCCAGGTTCTAACTTTTTGTTTACAAGAATATTTCTGGCCCCTATGAATTTGCATGATTTATTTTTGATATATAACATTAGCTTTTCTCGAAGCAGATTTTTTTAAATTTCTATTCAGTGTTCAAGTTGCACATGTCACAAACTATTATTATTTCTTTCCCTCAAATCTAATATTTTCTGTTTAGCTGTATGAGAACAGGAAATAAACATTTTCATTAATTTCCCTAGTGACTGCTAGAGGCTTAAATTCTCTATTAATACAAAGAGTCAATCCATGCTTTTACAATACAATAATGCACATAGTCCAGAGAACAGAAAATAGTCCAGAGAAGGATTTAGGGTGTGTGAAGAGGGAGCATTTTCGTTTCAGCCTTCTATGAACAAACACAACCCTTTTCTAAAGAGGAATTTAAAGAATTTCTCTGCTTTCCTGGAGGGCAACTGATTGCTCTGTCTTGGTTTTAAAGACAAAGTGAAATTGTGCCTTGGCATGCCAGATCCGCCCACTGGAATGCATGTGACCAACTGACAGAAATATTTCTGGAACTGGACTCAAGCAGACTGCATTATTTGTACTTAGGAACATTCATATTTGGACATATAATTGCCGTTAAATCACGAACCAGTTTCAACACTAAATAGCTGAAATTAATTTCATTTTGTCTGATGTGGATCCTTTTGTCCCATATTTGTCACCAAGACGTGCGTCAATATTGTGGGCAATCATGGGATATCATAGAGCAAGAAGTTACCTCAGAGACTACTCCAAATCCTCAGTGCAGTTTCTCTAAAGCAGTTTGGATAGATAGCTATCCAAACTTTGAAATCTCCAATGAAAAGAAACAATCCAGTTTACAAGATAATTTGTTTAATCAACTGACAACTCTGCTGTTGTGAATTTCTAACCAATATCTAGCCAGAAGGTTGAATAGAAATAAAAAAAAAATCTGCATTAAGAAAAACCAACATTATACATCAAAATAAATTATGCAAATTGACGTGGCGCTAGAGACTTTCTTGTAAATAAAAATTCTTCCTTATAGTTTGAATTCAGAGGTTCTGCCACAAAAATGAACAAGCCCAATCCTTCATCTACAAGACAATTGTTCAGTATTTGAAAGCTACAATTGAATCTCTTCCTCAGTCTTCTTTTCTGTATGTTATGCATAGTTTCTTTAATTATGGTTCAAGGATATGATTTCCAACTTCCTCACCATCTTGACAGCCCTCTTCCAATTTCATTTTTTGATGCCCTTTCCAGATGTATTACTACTATTCTGAAAACTAGGGAGCCCAAAAATGGGCATAGTGGCCAAAGGGGCCTGACCTAGTAGAATGGAAAAATCCCATCTCATGATCTGGACTCTGCTCCTGTGAGTACATCCCAAAATAGCATTTGTCATTTTAGCAACTGGGTCATGTTATTGGCTGGTGTTCAGTCTACAGGAACATCTTGATCTTTTTATGTTTGACTATCAAGTCAGATTTTTCTCCATTTCACAGTTGTGCCTTTCATTTTTTTCCCGTCAATATACTGTATTTTTAAAACCTCATTTTCTATTCTAAACTATTAGCCATTCTTCTGAATTTTGTGTCATCTGGAGATTTGATCAATATTCTCTCAATCTCTTCCTTCAGACTGTTAATAATAACATGACAATGTGTCCAATTAAGTCATAATTTCAGAGATCTTTCCTTATCTAAACAGACAAACAGAATGAAAAAGGCGATGGGAGTGGGAGGGATGTCCATCTTCTTGACAGTTCCAACTTCCAAAACTGACAGTGAGGGTCCTGGTGTCTAGGCCAGCACATAACCACTATATCAAACTGGCTCTTTTATCCCTTTTCTTTTCAATATTTTGTTCTATGTGTATCCAGTGTTTTTTTTTAATATCCATAATTTTTCCTCCTAGTGAGAATTTATCCACTACCACATTTTCTAGAATTTCCCATACTTTCTGAACACAAAAAACTTGAGTCTTGGTTTATCTTGTGAAATGATTTTTAAAAAGTGTTTTAATTATGGAGGATAGTTGGTACTGTGCTGCCTGTTGCCTGCTTATTAAAATGTCTTGGGCAATTTAACTCTAAAAAACAAGACTATTAATTACAGGTCTATTGGAGTTCCATAGAAAATATGCCAGATTCAGCTTCAGATGACACTTAAAAACAATTTAAAATGCTAAGGAAGTAAAGAAACTCCCCCAAACAGAAAATCTCTAAATATTGTTTTTGTCTTGTGAGAAGTGTAATTGCTGTAATCACTTCTACTTTGAGGAATGTGGAAGAGGAAGGGTGCATGTGGTCTTTTTTTAGGGAACTGAAAGGGATTAACTGCAAATAGAAAAGTGAGATCCAAGGAAGATTCTGCCAGTCTCTAAACTAAAGCAATATTTCTCAACCTCATTTTAAGACTTCAAATCCCAGAATTCCAGAGCCAGCATAGTGGGAATGGGCGAATTAGGGCAGGGGAATCCCAGATTCAGATCTGCAACTATTTAATTCTTTCAGTCTTGGGAGTAAAAAGGAGCTACTTTTTTTTCTTCACTTCTTTTAGTTCCATTGATTTATCAACAACAGTGTTTCTCAGTCTTGGCACCTTCAAGATGTCCAGATTGCAATTCTCAGAATTCCTCAGATAAACTGTCTGCATTATTAGAAAACTATAATCTTTATCTGTGAAGTATTAAAGAAAGCAAAGAGAGGGTTATGGGGCTGAAACAAAAATAAGTCTGGTTTATTGACCAAGTAACAGCTGCATATTTGAGACTATTAACAAACAATATAAAAATGAACCCCTAATGGCCTGATTCGGTAGCCTTGAAGTTTCATTTCTTTTCCTGCCAGAGATATAGCATATTTGAGCCCAAGCAATACCTTCCACATCCACATGGGTAATGAGGAACGAAAAGAGGGTTTAGGACCGTCCTTAAATGAAGGACTGGACTGTTTAGTGAGGATCGTTTTATTCTTAGTGAGGGAAGTTTTGTGTTAAATATTGAATAACACACTGCCTTTGGCATTTCTTTCTAAATCATGTTTTTAGTATCCTGGAGAATTGCCCATCATTTTGCAGCTGGATTGGTTGCACTGTCATCTATTTGCACACACTATTAATCCAGATTCTTGTTCTCAACTTTTGACTTTTAATTTCTAGATATCCACTGTTATTCAGAACAAACTTTATTAGACATAATCTATGGGGATGGAGAATTCAGTTAAATAGTTTGCAGACTAATGTCAATATGGAAAATGGAACTAATTATAGTTTATGTAATCTGTATTTTGCAAATAATAATTGGTGCTCTGATTCATTCCCTTCTTTTTTGGGGGGGGAATCTTTGGCTGAAAAATTCTTAAGCCAATTGTTAAGCCTATTGTTCGTCTATTTAACATACCCATCCATAACAGATTTTAGGAACAGTAAATGCAGCTAATTCCCAAGATGTCTTTGAAGGTTCGACTAGTTGTAGACCTTATATGCTTTTCATACAAAGAAATTTCTGAAGTGATAATATTGCTTCATCTTTGTTTTTTTTATACACACAAAAAACCAGACCAGACTTTGAACGTAGAAAATCCATTAGCAAAATAAGTATGATCCACCAGGAACTTTTTTATTGCAGGCTTCATTGAAATGAAATGGCAACTTTGCAGGAACACCACTGTTCTTGCATAATTTTATTTATTACAATAGAACTGAATTAAAACATGGATTTTGCAAACATTTTGGGATAAAATATATTTTGACTGATCACCAGTGGAAAAATATTGATTTGCTTTTGAAAGAGTAATTGAAATTCTTTTCTGATGTATAACTAGTCATACAATTTCAGACTACCACTTTTAAAGCTGTACAATTACCATTGAAGTCTATTGTGTTTTTTTAATCACCAACTAGCAATAATTTATTCTTTTGTAGAGGGTGGAGAAGTAAACTTGCATCCAAAATTACAGAATGCAATTTTAAAGACTTGCTTTTAAAATAGCAGAAAAGTAAACCATATTAGAATCAACGTAGTCTGCAAACCTGAAGATTCTATAATTTTTTTGTAATATAATTTTTAGACACACAGTATGAAATATATGATAAGATTTTCTCTTGGTGTCCCCCACTATATATACATATTTATTGGGATGGTGAGCTGAACTGCAAATTTTTCCTTATATGAAAGTTTTCTTGATCACAGCTTATTATTTAATTCAGTACTAACATTTACATATAGTTGTCATAGTAGCTCTACAAAAGTCATTAAAATTAACTTTTTTCCAAGTGGAACCTTAGAAAGCAATTTGTCTACCATTTTTCAATACCTGTACCTCTGAAATAATCATGTTTAGGACTGCAAATCCTATCATTTTTAATTGTATTATATGATTTAACATTACAATCAAAACTTTTTGATGTTTGAACATTGGGTTGCTTATTATTTTTCTCAGGCAGAAGAGAAATTGATAGGGAGAATAGAGATTCATGCAACCCCTCCACTTGGAAATATTTTTAGATAATTTTCACAATAGAAAACTGCTAACATAGGCAACACAATTAAGAGCTGAAATTATTTGAAATGTAAAAATTATATGTATCCATTATAGTTCATAAACAACCATGAGCTAATCACAAATGCAGGCTCATTCATTCATTTTAATGATCCTTTCATAGCATAAACAGCTCCAATTGTTCTCCCTATCTTAACAGATAAAAATTCAGTTGTGATATTGAATGAAACCAGATTTTTAAGGTAATATAGCAGAATTACGGAATTTTTGCCATATTTAATTTAATTTTAGTTTTGGCTTCCATGATTTACTTTTACATTGTATTTAGGGATGAATGTCTGCAATGCAAGATTATATATGATTTATAGAGATTACTAAGATAAATTATTAACTTTTGAAACTGTTGAATGAAGTCATTTGGCCTCCTTTTTTGATCTTTCCTGAAATAAGGATATCTTTATCCTTATTTCTGCCACAGACATAGTTATAGACAATTCTAAGAAAATATCTTCTTAATCCTGGATGAGGAAGTTGATGAGGGCAGTTCGAGGAGATAAGAAAAACTTTGTAATTGTTCTTCCTTGAAGGTATTCACTTCCTAGTTCACTTTGAACAACCAGTTCACGAACTACTTCTGCATCTCGGGATACTTGTTGGGGTACTTTAACTTTACCACAGAGTTTATTGTTGATCTGAAGAGAAAGAAATAAACAGGTGAAAACTGAAGAAAGCATCTAAAATCTCTTACTTTTGTTTTAGCTTCAGTCAATTTATACAAGGTTGTAACAGATAATCCTCAATTAATGACCCTAATTGGGATTGAAATTTCCATCATTAAGCAAAGTGTACTTAGGCAAAGCACGTGTGTGTGTGTGTGTGTGTGTGTGTGAGAGAGAGAGAGAGAGAGAGAGAGAGAGAGAGAGAGAGAGAGAGAGATCATGTCACTTAGTAACAGCAATTCAAGTGGTGCTGGTTCATTTATTAGGCAAGGATTATGCTGCTACTAGGCGAGGACCTCACATTCTCCTCCCTGCGTGAAATGCTGGTTCTGTCCTGCTGCCTCCTCTCCATCTAGGCCCAGTGATCTCTCTTCAGCATAAAAGATTCCGCCACCCGGCCGCATTTGCCTTCACTTCAACTTCTCTACCTTTCTATCTCCCCCACCCTATCCGCCCCCTTGGATGTCCTACACTCTATTGCCACTATCTACCCCCGCCCTCCTGATTTTTTTGCCATTTTCTTCGTCCTGCTACTGTCCCAGGATCTAGACACTGGGGGAGGACATAACTCTCAGATGTGAGCCCAGCAAGGCAGATGAACCTTATCTGCCAAATGGCCTGGGGATGGAAGAGGTAGTAGGCCAGAGAAGAAGGAAAGATAGTGGTGTGGGTGGTGCTTCACACAGCACCTAAATTTTGTGCCAACAATGGTAAAACTTCAAGATAATTATTAGCTGGGGGTGGCAGGGGTAAATTGTGGCCACAGAATGCAGGGTAATTCAGAGGGCAGGGATGGGATGGGAATAGGTGGGTGGGGGAATTGAAGCACATGCTGCAATTGTGAATGTGGGCTGGTTCCCTAGCATTTGAATTTTGATTCCATGACCACAAGGTTGCTGGAATAACTGTGACTTCAACAAGCAGTCATAAGTATTATTTGTTCAGCACTGTCATAATTTTGAGCAGTGATTGAATGAATAGTCATTAAGCCAGGACTACCTGTACTGTGAAGCACAAAATATTTTTGTAACAGTTCAAATATTGCTATTGAAAACTTAGAATCTGTTACTGCTAGTTTATCACAAATATGTCATACACACAAACACACACATGTGCACACATGCCCACACATACACACACAAATCAAAGAGACTCCTGGAAGATATATATCCATGGTTGGAGGACTGGCTTCCAGAAACTCTTAGTAAAAAAAAAGAGTCGGACTATTTAATTTTTATCTTATAAAATGAAGGATAATACATATTCTTTTGTAAAATGAGTTTGTATAGTTATTTCCAGAGTATTTTAGTCTCGTTTCATACTATAAAATTACCTTTTGAAAAAGGCCTATTATAGCCAATACACAGCCTTGCAATAAAATCTGGAGCTACAGTCAGATAGATGTATCTTTCATTATGTCTACTGCACAAAATCCAAAATGTGTGGCAACCTTTATTATGTTATTCCACCAGGTACTTTTGGCTAAATATGAGCAGGGATAGAATGAACATCAAATGGAAATAATGGAGTATGTTATGCCAACCCAGACCAAATTACAATTGTCTAGGAAAGCAACATGTCATTGGCCTGGGATACTGAGACAAATAGTGAGCTGTAGCTTAGAATACCAATTCCCTTTTGGAACCTTATTAAAAACAATATTTGGATTTTCTTATTTGTCCTGTGAATAAAGAAGTACTTATTATGTCTAACTTTTGTGTATGCTACCAAAAATGGCAATTTGGTACTGGATCCCATTGCCCACTCATAAAATGGAGAGAGGTGTGAAAACCTGTGTCACTACATTGCCTTCTAGTTTCTATTAAACAGGGGGGAGGGGTGGAATGCGAAGGGAGGAAATGGGATACCAAGAAGCCTTTCATGAACTATGAAAGCCTGCCAGCCACCAAGGTCACTATTGCAGATGCTTGATGGAGAAATGGACTGTTCCCATAACAAAAAGTTGTACCATTAGACAATGTGAACATCTGGAGGGTGGGGACAGGAGAATCTAGTGTTTTGGCACAGGAAAAAACTAGAGCTGGTTTTGCTTCTTCAGTTCCGAGATGGTGAATCAATAAAGTTTACCTTTTTGAGACTCAATTGCCTTAAAGATCCCTTCTTTTGGGTTCGTTAGTCAGACAGTTGATATCTGTACTACTTCAAATATTACAATTTCCAGTATTTCATTTGCTGTTTATCTAGGAATAACACTGGTGCCAAAGGGGAACTCTGTATAAAGGTAGTCCTCACTTACCCATTCAACAACTATTCGGCATTGCAGCAGTACTGAATGAGTGGTATTTATAATTGGTGCTGAATCATGTGATTATGATTTGGGCATCTGGCAACAGGTTCACACTTAATGCTTGAAGCACGGTCATATGATTGCCATTTGAAACTTTCCCAGCTGGAAAAATTAATAGGGGACTGAGAAGTGACCCAATGGCATCCTAAAAGTGAAGAACTAGTGGAACAATCTCTCTTCCCTCCCTATAACAAATTGAAATATCCAACAGTGAAGTGGTTCTGATATAGTGAGCAAGGAAAGTTTGTCCCAGAAGTTCTTCATCAATCTACTTCAAATATCAAAACAATTTCCCCTCAAAACAAAATGCTGGATGCTACATGGATTATCTAATGGATTAAGATGGTCCCTTCAACAATGGCTGCATCATAGCTCTTTCAAAGCTGTAAGATGATGCTGACAATTTCATAGATGCATGGTAACTCCATGCTCTCCTCAGGACAGGAAAACTATATACATAGCAGAAGATAATCTAGAGCACACCCTGAGCACTTCCAATGCTTTGAGATTTCTCACATGAAGTGTGACTGTAGCAAATCTGAGTGACTTTGTTAGCAAAGAGCTGTACCAACTGTTCACAGCACCCAATGATAATGCCTCTTTAAAAAGCAGTGAAATACACTAAACAGAGCTTCTGGATAAGTCTGTTGCCGGATACTTTGCCTCTCACATCAACACAGTGTAGGCTCAAATATCTGTGCTTGGATGACTTTGCTTTTTCTTTCTTTCTTCATTGGTGCTCCAGGTATCATTTCTGCCATTTCATTCCCTGGAGGGTCTCAGTAAACCAAGATGCCAGTCAAGATTGACACTTCGAAAAAAACACCAGTTCCAGGGTAATAGAGTCCAGCACCTGACTTATCTCCTGTTGCCAATAGTTCATCAGGCACCAGACTGAACTGCCTACCACAGATCTGAGAAACTCCTGGAGTCCCTTCAGGAAGCTAACAACTATCTGTGTTCCCATGACATTTCAATGAAAATACTAGGTCTAATAACTAGACAAGTATCAGATAAGGAAAAGCAAGATTTCTCAGCCTTTTATGGGTTCGAAGCAAGGAACCATCACAATCTCAATTACTTTTCAATTTAATTTCTGCCCCATTTCTTGACTGAAATATATGCATCTCAGTTGTATGAAGAATATAATTATAAAAATATTCATGAGAACCAGCTAACATACTGTGTATCAGGCATACTTTAGAATTCCCCTCTGTAGAAGGTATGTAAATATAAAAGGTAGGTCTATGTTTCTACATACTTGAATGTTTACTTATCTCCATCACATTTGACATATTTCTTGTAAGCAAACATAACAAAAATTAATGACTAAAAAAACCATGCATTTTCTGAAGGGATAGAAAAATTAAGCACAAATTGCGCAGGCATACATAAGAATATATTCTATATCTATCTGTATAAAAAACTATATGTAAAGGAAACCTCACTGATTATTACAGTTTTCTCTCTACACCTTGCTTCATATGTCTGTGCTATTGACCTTCTACTTCAGAGGTGTCAAACTGCCGGCCCACGGGCCGGACACATCACGTGGAAGCCGCGCCCACCCCATTGATGGCAATGGCAAAACTATCCCAATATGTTGCGCGACATCATATGATGTCACGAGTTTGACATGTCTGTTCTACTTAATGTCCCCAAACAGCTCCTAAAATTATCAAAATGCGTTCCAAAAATGTTTTGGAAAGCTTAGAGAACTTTTTACAATAAAAGAGAAAACACCAGCATTACTAATATAATAATATAATAATATAATACATTGAACAATTATTAGAATAATGATTTGTCTGCATAACTGCAATAATGATGTGTCTGCATAATTGCTAGAACAATGATGTAATGCATAATCACTGGGAACATTCACTGGGAAAGTTCTCTGTCAGTAATATGTGGCAACCTAATGCGCTCTGCACATGGATACTTTGTATGT